GCAGCCATCCTTCCTGGACCCACAGGCTGAGTCTGTCCGTGCCCCTCACTTTCACTCAGTGTATCACATACATCTGCTTCAGGCACATATTGGCACATATATTCATTCAGCCCCCTCTCGCTGGAAGGCTTTTCCCATACATTTTCACAGGACACATTTGACCCCCCTTGATCAGATACAGAATTTTGCACACACTCACATAATTTCTTCTCCAGGGCAGGCCCTCCTCTCACAATCTCACATAGCACCTCAGACTGTCCTGCTGCAGCCCTGACCCACTGTTGACTTGTTACCACTGCGACTAGTGGTACACATCCCTGGCTCTCACCTTCCTCCTCCCCCTTACTCTCTGACATCCCAGCCTCACAGTATTTTGATACAGGCACATCACTACTCACCCCTATCTCACATTTGGTAGACATCACTGGTTCAGTTACAGGTAGATATTTATCCACACCCTGCTCTCCCTCCCAGCAATCACACTCCACAATGTCTCCCAAAGTTTCACACAATACCTTAGGTGGAGCAGTCAGCCCTTCTGGCTCACAAACAGTGTCCGCTGGAGCATAGTGACAGAGCATCCTGCCCAAATCATTCCCCAACAGAACATTAACAGGGATATCCTCTGAAATCCCCACTTCCCGCAAACCTTTGCCCGCACCCCAATCAAGGTACACACGTGCCAAGGGCACAGCGGGGCATACACCCCCAATTCCTTTGATGGACATGGTTCTTCCAGGAATTATGTCCTCCGTATTCACCACTTCAGGTCGCACCAGGGTGAAGGAAGCTCCAGAATCTCTCAGTCCCATGGTCACTCGGTCACCCACAATTACACTCTGCAGGTTATCCTCTTGTTTCCCCACGGACCCACCCACAAGCAATACTGATGGTGCCCCTCCACGGACTGGTGAGGGCATATTCCTAGTGGGGCAAGTCCTGCTCAGATGACCAATCTGGTTGCATCGAAAACAATGGAGGGCATCTGACTCACTTGACATAGCCCCGGCTACGCTGGCAGTCGGCGGTGAAGTTCTCACTGCAGATCTTACAGGTGGTGTTTGAACTGTAGCTTCTCTCCAGGTCGAAGTAGCAGCTGACACAAGTCCACGCCTGGATGTGGGTGCATGGATGTCGGCATAGTCATCTGCCAGTTCTGCAGCAGCCCTAGCATTTTTTGGCTTTCTTTCCAAAATCCACTCTCGTACATTAGGGCTCCGGGTCTGCAAGAACTGCTCCAGGACCATTAAGTCATTAAGGGCTTCATAGGTAGTAGCTTGTACTCCTGTTACCCATTGCCGGAACATGGTTTCTAATTGTGCAATATATAGAATGCAGCTGGATGATGGGCATTGCTGCATACTCCTAAACTTTTTCCTGTAAGACTCAGGAGTAAGGTTAAAAGTTTTTTGCAATGCAGATTTGATTGCCTCATAGTTGTTATCAGTCTCTGGGGGAAGGGACACAAACACATCCAAGGCTTTCCCTTTCAGTTGTGGAGTTAAATATCTGCCCCACTGGTCTGAGGGTAGTTGATGCTGCCTGCATACTTTCTCAAAACTTTTAAAAAATACATCCAAATCTGTCCCTTCTTCGAGGGAAGGAAAATCATCCTTACGGAGCCTACGTGTGCTGGACTCTGATGCATTGCTGTTCAGTGAGGACTGAAGGGTAAATTGCAGTTTAGCAAGTTCCAGCTCATGTCTCCTTTGTGCCTCCCTTTCGGCTAGCCTCTCTGCAGATTTCCTTTCTGCAGCCTGCTGTTGGATCATCACATGCAGGGCCTCCTGAGGATTTGCAGCCATCAGTTGCCGAAATAAATCAGTTGAGCAAATGTCCTTAATGTTTTGAGGGGTACAACCACCAGGCATTTCAGTAAGCAACACTCCTGCAGTAGTAGGGAGCTCGGTAACCCTTTCAGTGTCCGTCTCTGGCTGGAAAATATGGCTGTCAGCCTCCACAAGGTCAGCAATAAGTTGTGCCTTATTTTTGCCAAAAGTTGGTAAATTCTTTTCTTGGCACAACAATTCCAAGGCCTCTTTTGATTGTTTGCGATAGGCCTCCATATTCACAAATAGGATAGAGAAAGAAAAACAAAAGATGGGAGGGGAGAACTGTTTTGCACTTTGTATGTATTTTAAATCAGCACTGAGCTTGGTCTTTAGAAATTACACAAAAACAAGTATGCAATTTATTTTAGTGCTAAGACCCCCTTTACAGGTAAAATCTAGCAAGCACTAAAAACTCTAAATATATCCCACCGCTGCCACCAGTTTGTCACGTGCGTGGGCTATAGGCCCAGCCGAGACAGTGGGGAGAGTGTGGAAGTGACAGAGTTAATGACACCAGACCCCTGGTTACCTGTTGCTAGTCCCAGCAACCACTCAATTAACCCCTGCAATCCCTTCTACACTATCCCCCTTAGTACTACTGCCACCACCAAGACTTTTAAACCCGGGCGTCTTAGGTTACCCCACACACAGGAGAATTATAGTATCACAGTTCTACTTTTACTGATAAAACATATATAGTTAACCCCTTTTGGTAACGTGTTTACCTGAGCTTTCCTCTGGAGAGTGAAGCTCATAGAGAACAGAGACACAAGCTGATTAAGTAAACATTTAATCTGACAAAAAGGATTCACAGTGCTGAGTACAAAATACAGAAATAAATGACATACAGATAACAAATTGCAAAACAGTACATAAAATAAAATAGGAGAAAACACAAGAAATTCCTTACATATATTTACCCCATATAGAATTCTTGTGGGAGTCTTAGATGGTATAGGTCTCCTAGAAGTTACTGACAAAAGAAAAATGAATAACTGACTTCCCTGGATAGTCCAACACCCTCATATATCTAAACTAGTTGTTTCTCAGTGGGCAGACCCCTGGGGGGGATCAGAGGGGGTTGGTCTGGCAGTCTATTGCCCACTCTATGAAATTCCTTGTGTCCAGCTCTGGTGATGGCTATCTAGATGTTTTATGGTCTAGGCCTGGTGCAAGATCAAAGACCACAATAAATGTCATCCCAAGGTTTACAAAAAAACTACTCTTAACATATATAAACACACATCAAACACCAACTCATGCTTTTGGCATGACACAAACACATAGGCAAATACAGTGGGCATGGTACTTAGTGGCTGTGTCCCGTCACAAATTTAGACATCAATATTTCCGCTGGTAGACTGTAGAACATCAAAGAGAAGCGCAGTGTAGCAATATAATCCCAATTTCCCCAGTAACCGGACGATACACAGTTCTGGGAGTCAACTGATTTTTATTCAGCCACAGCTGGCTTTTATGCAACTCCCCATGCAAGGGGTTTCTTAATTACATTCCAGGGGTTTTCCCCTGGTGGACCTGAGTGAGGACATGCAACAAATAAACATTTCCCAAAATCATTCTCTGTACCTGAGAGATGATTGAGTAAGAACAACTCTTTAATTACATTATCTCCCAGGTACAGAAAATATATAATATACAAAACCACAGAATACACATTTTAATAGTTCAGAACTCCATGAAAGTTACTTCATCGAATAGTAAGGATCTGACCGCCCACTTTGTTGAAATATCACTCAGATCCGTTCTTTAGATTAGGAACGCCATTCGAGTGAAGTTTAGGCTGGTCGACCACGAGGTGAAGCCCCAAAATAGTTCCAAAGGGTCTTTGTAACGGACCGTTTTGCACACAAGAGGTTAAAAACCGTTTAGGCAATATTCCCCTTTCAGATGCACAGGCAGCTACTGCAAGCACCAATCTCCCAAACTGCAAACACATGAATTCACCAATCTCCCGAACTGGAACCAGGGGAATGATCCAAACTCCCGAACAGGAAACACATGAATGCTTTAAACAGCCGAACAGGAAAAACCATACGAACAGTTTACACTCCTGGCAGTCGCACTGTAACAGCATACAGGGAGTGCAGAATTATTAGGCAAGTTGTATTTTTGAGGATTAATTTTATTATTGAACAACAACCATGTTCTCAATGAACCCAAAAAACTCATTAATATCAAAGCTGAATATTTTTGGAAGTAGTTTTTAGTTTGTTTTAGTTATAGCTATGTTAGGGGGATATCTGTGTGTGCAGGTGACTATTACTGTGCATAATTATTAGGCAACTTAACAAAAAACAAATATATACCCATTTCAATTATTTATTATTACCAGTGAAACCAATATAACATCTCAACATTCACAAATATACATTTCTGACATTCAAAAACAAAACAAAAACAAATCAGTGACCAATATAGCCACCTTTCTTTGCAAGGACACTCAAAAGCCTGCCATCCATGGATTCTGTCAGTGTTTTGATCTGTTCACCATCAACATTGCGTGCAGCAGCAACCACAGCCTCCCAGACACTGTTCAGAGAGGTGTACTGTTTTCCCTCCTTGTAAATCTCACATTTGATGATGGACCACAGGTTCTCAGTGGGGTTCAGATCAGGTGAACAAGGAGGCCATGTCATTAGATTTTCTTCTTTTATACCCTTTCTTGCCAGCCACGCTGTGGAGTACTTGGACGCGTGTGATGGAGCATTGTCCTGCATGAAAATCATGTTTTTCTTGAAGGATGCAGACTTCTTCCTGTACCACTGCTTGAAGAAGGTGTCTTCCAGGAACTGGCAGTAGGACTGTGAGTTGAGCTTGACTCCATCCTCAACCCGAAAAGGCCCCACAAGCTCATCTTTGATGATACCAGCCCAAACCAGTACTCCACCTCCACCTTGCTGGCGCCTGAGTCGGACTGGAGCTCTCTGCCCTTTACCAATCCAGCCACGGGCCCATCCATCTGGCCCATCAAGACTCACTCTCATTTCATCAGTCCATAAAACCTTAGAAAAATCAGTCTTGAGATATTTCTTGGCCCAGTCTTGACGTTTCAGCTTGTGTGTCTTGTTCAGTGGTGGTCGTCTTTCAGCCTTTCTTACCTTGGCCATGTCTCTGAGTATTGCACACCTTGTGCTTTTGGGCACTCCAGTGATGTTGCAGCTCTGAAATATGGCCAAACTGGTGGCAAGTGGCATCGTGGCAGCTGCACGCTTGACTTTTCTCAGTTCATGGGCAGTTATTTTGCGCCTTGGTTTTTCCACACGCTTCTTGCGACCCTGTTGACTATTTTGGATGAAACGCTTGATTGTTCGATGATCACGCTTCAGAAGCTTTGCAATTTTAAGAGTGCTGCATCCCTCTGCAAGATATCTCACTATTTTTGACTTTTCTGAGCCTGTCAAGTCCTTCTTTTGACCCATTTTGCCAAAGGAAAGGAAGTTGCCTAATAATTATGCACACCTGATATAGGGTGTTGATGTCATTAGACCACACCCCTTCTCATTACAGAGATGCACATCACCTAATATGCTTAATTGGTAGTAGGCTTTCGAGCCTATACAGCTTGGAGTAAGACAACATGCATAAAGAGGATGATGTGGTCAAAATACTCATTTGCCTAATAATTCTGCACTCCCTGTACATACCAATTCCCCCCAAGAACGAGACGACACTTCGTTTGAGGGTCAAGCAGAACTGATTTACTGGGGCTACCTGCCCGGCTTTTATGCAGGTTTTCCACCTGGTGGACACTCCCCTAGGGGACCAGATGGAAGACTGGGAAACATATTGGACATTGACCAATTACAGACATACACCTTTAACCCCTTAAGGACACATGACACATGACGTGTAACATGTCATGATTCCCTTTTATTCCAGAAGTTTGGTCTTTAAGGGGTTAAACAGTCCCACAATTACATCACAATCCCTCCTCTCTATCCTGGAGATAATTGGGAAGTAATCCAATTATCTCCCAGGACAGAGGCAAAACTCCATTGAGCACATGTTAGTAAAAAGACACAAAAATACCTAATGTTGCAAATAATGAATAAAACACATACATTCTACATATCCCCAGATAGCTTAGATCTGACTGCACATTATTACCGAATGGCGCTCAGATCACCTACATACAGTTCAATCGCCATGGAGCCAAAGTCTTTTCCATAGTCTTTTGTTACACGAATAGGCTCCATGGCATAGCTATCTGGGGTGATGCTGTTCATACGGTCAAACTACCGAATGAACAGTAATTCGGTTCCACTACCGAATGCAGAGGTAAGGAGGCTGGCGGCTCAGCGGTGTTCGCGCAAATAAGTGTCCGTTTCCAGTTCCATAGTTTGGGTGCTGAACACCGCTGGCCGTTCGGGAGTTAAAATGGCCGCTGCCACATGTTCGGCAAATTAACAAAGGCCACCCAGCATTCGTCAAGTAAGCTGCAGTTAACCGCAGCTTCTGGGCGGTCAATTGACGGCACACTCCAGTTCCCAGGTGGTCGATCGTTTGGTACTTTGTTCGGTAGATTGAATCTACCGAACACCCCGGCAGAAATGCACAAATAAGCCTTTATGCAGGGAGAATAAAAGGTTTTAAATGCCGGACATAGTCTAAGGGAGCAGGCGAGCAACCAGGCTCCTCCAGTGCACAGTGGCCAGGTTGGTTCCGCCTTTGACCGGTCTTCTTTCGGGAGTATAAAACATAGAAAATAACAAATAAAACCATTTGTATAGCAAGGGATTGTGAGCCCCTTGTTTAGTAGTTTGTTTCATATGAATGCTGCTCTTTCTAGGTGAATTGAATCGAACATACAAAGGGGTGGTAGTTCAGCTGTGTTCGCGTCATCAAGTGTCCGATTATAGTTCCATGCACTCAACGACCAAACACCGCTGTCTGTATTCGTGGACATAGATGAGCACCCCCACGTGTTCAGTCATACGAACAACGGCCACCCAGCTAACTGCCAAGAACCTTGAGGTTTCTAAGTGTGAATACAGTCAATTGGAGGCACACGACTCCCCTGGGTGGTCCAACTGTTCAGTACATGGTTTGGTATATGAACAATATAGCTTTTCTGTTTGGGAACCCCAATTGTCGAACCAGCTAAGTCTTTGACATGAATCTAACCGTCTCTAATACAAATAGGTGGCTGGTTCTGCCACACTCCTCTTATGGAGGGTCTTGTTTATCTCCATTAGGGAAGCAAAGGAAAACATGACTGTTATCCTTATTCCTGGTATGGGCTGTCCATATCTTGTCCCCCTGTTATTTCCTATGTTTCTGTTACGGTTACCTCCAAGCTAACTGAAGGCTGGACCACTTGGATGTCCTGGTTCCCGAATGTGGAGAGAGAGAAGAGCCGTTCCGAGCAGCATACCCCGAGAATCCTGTGATTATAAAGCAAACCCACTAGCTATGGTACAGCTAGGATACCCTTTTCCCCACAAAACGAGTCGAAGCTGCGAACTGAGGGTCGAAACGAACTGAGTTTAATGACACACAGGCATGGCAATTTATGCAAGACCCCAGGTACAGGGACAGCCCCCTCTGGACCTGATGGGATACAGGGACAATACAAACAGTTGACCAATGGCATTACAATGTATCATTTGAAATTGTTACCGCCCAAAATCCCACATTTTATTTTAACATGTAAAACAGTATAAAAATATATAACTTTAATATTTTAATAGCCACATCTTCCATTCAACCATTCGTTAGGTAGCCCAGACCTGAGCGCAACAGATAGGCGAATAGCGCTCAGATCTCACGAACAGTATAGCCAGTTTCTTTATTACAAGGTCCGTTCATGCGTTTTGTCCCGAACACGAGATGGCGGCCATGTTTTCAGGTAGGCAGATAGAGAGCGGGACCTGGATCTAAAACCCATGGAGCGAGTAGCGGCTGAGCAGTTGCACAAACCCTGCTCAGAGGATGGTTGTCTCAGCCCTTTGTGAGCCAAACGGGGATCGCCATGAAGTGGGGTACTTAACTTGCGTTAACCGCAGACTCAACGTTCTAATTGGGGCCACACGCTAGGATGCAGGTGGTCCTCGTTCGGGAGTCTTTCATGAGTTCCAGTTCGGTGAATTGTCACACGAACGAGGCCGCCCTGAGACAGTCAATTAGGCTGCAGTTAACCGCAGACCGCAGGTTCCCGGTGGTCAATTAGAGGCACACTCCGCTCGTAGGGTGGTCAGTCATTCGGTTATTTCAGGGGTGACAAAGGTTAAGTGGCGGCACACGCCAAGAGCCGGGTGGTCCTTCGTTCGTATGTACGAATGCATAGTCCTGATGGTTCGTGGAATGGGTTTACACAGTCTAAATACCTATACGGTGAAACAAACAGGGGTAATTCCGTAACAGTCTGTAAAACTCCCGTAACAGTTTCGTGCTCATAGTCCCTGGATCATCTTGTTCTTTCCCCTGTTCATCTGGCCGTTCGGTAAAATAGCAACCACCTCGCATATTAACAGGTCCTGTTCGACAACCGAACAAATTACCCAATGCCAGACCACCCATATGTGGAGTGTGCTGCTTGTTAACCCCTGTAACCTCTGTTCACACCTCCACCAACCTGAACATTCCAAGCGGTTCGTATGTGGGAACACGTGGCGGCGGCCATCTAGCCATGAACAGAGACGGCAGTGTTTGGTCGTCGAGTGCGTAGAACTCAAATCGGACACTCGCCGGCGCGAACACCGCTGGGGCTTCCGCCTTCAGTTATGTTCATGAGGATTCAGACAGAGTAGCGTTCGGGGGGAACAAAGTCCCGAACAAGATACACAGAACGAATGTCTGCATGAACAGTCCATGCCTTGTCTTTCATATATTTGATACTCCTGAAAGAGACCGACTGCACAGCCTAATTTCATGGAACCTTTTTGGGCATGCAACTTGTGTGCGATCGGTCTAAACTATACCTCAGTGGCGTTTCGGCTGCATTTGTGGGATCTGAGCTCTTTTCGTATATGTTGGGTGCTCAGACCCAGGGTATCCGGGGATATAGGACTTAAGGGGTTATCTTGTGGGGAACTGTATCTTTTGGGGTGATTATCATTGTACATGTCCTGGACCTTAGCGTTAATGTAAATATGTTGTGTATTTTGTCTGTCTTCTCCGGTCCAGTGGGGAATGCCCCTGGAATGTGTATTTGGAAACCCCTTGCATGGGGATTCTCATAAAAGGCCGCCTGTGGCTCCATTAAAACCAGTTATACCCCCAGAGTGTCGTCCAGTTGCTGGGGAGGAGGTGGGAGATTCCTGGAGTATTTTTACTGTTATTCACAACCATATGCACAGATTCACATTAACAGCTTAATTTTCGACCCGGTGCATAGTAACAACGGCACACGTCAGGGTTGTCTGCTTTCCCCTGTGCTATTTATGCTCAAACTGGAGCACCTTTTAAATGCTATTATATTTAATGCTTCTATTTCTGTATTTAGCGTAGGGTCACAGGAATAGAAAATTCCTTCTTTGGAATAAGTTCCCTGTTACCCCTGTATTCTATACCCTCCCCAAGGTCCATAAGGATGCCTCCCATGCACCAGGACGCCCTATTGTAGCAGGCACAGATTCCATCTTTCAGCCCCTAGCTATCTTTGTGGACCAATTCTTACAGTCTCTTGTTGTAACTAATAGATTATATATCTAAGAGATGAAGGACTTCCTAGTCAGAATCAAAGACTTAAGGGTAGAACCAACTGATCTGTTGGACGAAACCAATCCATTCACTTCAATCCCACACAGAGAAGGGCTTACAGTGGTCCAAAAGAGACTATCAAATGTTCTTACTGAGTTAAAAAAAAATTATTTGTAATAACTCTACTTAAAATAATTTTAAGGAAAAGCTTTTTTTTGTTACCTAGCGATCTCCTATGAACAGGTTAAGGGCACGGCTATGGGTGCTAATATTGCGCCATCCTACACCAACCTGTTCATGGCAGAATTTGAAGACAACTTGTATATAACAATAATCTATTTAAGGAATGTGTACCTATTTGGTTAAGATATGATGATTGTTGATTGTTTTATGCTCTGGTATGGAACACAGACTGACCTCACAATTTTCCTTAACTACCTTAAGCAATGCTATCCTGATATTAAATTCACCACGACTGTAAGCACTGTATCAGTTAACTTCATTTTTTCGTTTTGGTGTGTAAGAAAAACGGTCAACTAAGCACTGATCGATATTTAAAACCTATTGGGATCTGATTGCAGTACTACTCATTTTTCTCTGTTCTCATAAATGAACTGTATGTGATATAATTATAATGCAATCAAGTCTCTTAGTGTTTGGCTGTTTGGTCTTATTAAAGATGTATGATTTGTGCACTGTAGTAACCATTAGTT